TTTTTTTTGCCATGGACTTAAAAGGTAAAAATAAAAAATAAAAATATAATTGCAACTTTTTGCAATCTCTTTTTAGATGTTTTTCTTGCAATTGTGTGCTAAATGTGTGATTTGTGAGAAATAAACTCAGTATTGCAAGAAAAAACTGCGAGAATTGTGAGATAAAAAGGTGCAATTACTCATTTTTTTATTCTGTGGCGGAAATGGACATCCATACAAAATAGACCTGCGATTATGAGTGGAAAAACTGACCCATGCCTGGTCTGAAAGATTAGCGTTAAAGTTGCATGTCTATCCGTACAATAAAAGCATGATTTGTTATGATTTCACAGCATGTTCATCATGAATCAGAATGCTATAGTAATAATTTCCCTGGAAATCATTTATTAATAACTGGCCTTTCCTATGTGTGTTTTTCCAGGACAGGTTTGGCCTGCCATCAGCAGGTTTTTCCCTACTGTACTTGACATTTGTTTTGTGACTGATAAGGAAGCGCAAAACATAATAATGTCCTCTAATTGAGAGAAAAGCGTGAGATGGTGTTGACATTGAGATGGTTACTGGGCAAGCAAGTTTGTGCTTTTGACAAATTTATCCTATGAGAAATGTAATTATGTCTAGGTATACATCTCAGAGGAAATTGCCTAATGGAAGTTTCATTTAAGTATCAACTTTCTTTAAGATGCTCCTCCAAAATGTCCTTAGGAAACAATGAAAATATTGGTAACACTTTAGTTTAGGGACCAATTTTCACTATTAACTAGCTGCTTATTAGCATGTATATCCCAAGCATATTGGCTGTTTATTAGTATTTATGAAGCACATATTAATGCCTTATTCTGCATGACCATATTTTAGATCCCTTAATCTGACCCCATACCTAAACTTAACAACTACCTTACCAACTATTAAGAAGCAGCAAATGAGGAGTTTGAGGCAGGAGTCATAGTCAATACCTGGTAATTAAAAAAAGTTAATGAGAATAGCTCCCCAAACTAATGTGTGACCAAAATATCTAGTGAGACGCCTCTTAACATAGATTAATTACTGTGCTTTGAAATTATTTTGGCTGATTTGACTCAGATAATTTGGTTTTGGAAGAATCTGATTAGAAACTATTCATATTCATATAGTATATTCATATTGAGATGTCTGATTTTGATTGCAGACTTCGGCATCTTGGCCACTAGATGAGAAATACATACAATATAACACATACAATGATATTTAATGCACGTGCACACAAAATAAAGAATAAACCAACGCTGCTGCATCACAAAAGGTCACTGGATAAAATGGCAATCATAATGCACAAAATTATTCAGCATTTACTTCCTGTGTAACTCAACATATGCTGAAAGCTGGAAACAAATGCCTAATGCTCAACAGGAAATTGATCGAAGGCAAACCACCACATGCTTGACAAGTATTTCATGTAAACTGAGTGTCTCATTTTGTGGTTTGAAAGCATAACAGAGGCAAGACGCATTTCCATGCACTTATTTATAGATGTTTCCTATTTATTCAGTTCACTGAAGTCACCAGAGGAGGGCATCAAACACATGACCACATCTGAAAGGAACCTTCGCTATGACTCTACAAACAAACCACTCATGTGGATAATCCCAAAATTGTTGAGGACAAAAATAGTTTTCTCATATCCTGCTCAGTATGGAGCTACACTATCATGCCATGCACAGAAAATATTTCTCCACGTCTCCAGCATTATGTCCAGGCAGCTTGTGTGAGTGATTACAGCTGATGGATTCCAAGTTCTCTGAAAGGTTAGAATGTTTTTGTGCCACCTACTGATGCCTTTCCATTCCATTTGTCAAATTTTTTTATCTGAAATCACAGGAAAATAGTACCACTCTACTTCATGACACTTCAAAGATTTGTTTATTACTTATAAAATTGTGCAGATGGGCTCTTTTGGGCTATTGACATTGATATTGTGGACGTGTCTCCGTGTCTGGGAATGGAGTGCTTTAAGGATCGATCTTTGTCTGAAAGGATGTGCAGTCAGGTGACCTCCTCACCCCTCTTGACCCCTGTTCTTCATGTGAGCTGACCTCTGGGAGAACATGTTGATGAGCAGTGGCTGGAGATCAGATTTCCTGTCACCCATTTTCAGGGCTGACTGTATTAATTAGTTATGCTTCTAAGGCTGGCATCACTAAAACTACTGAATATAGGGTTTCTTTTAAATATTCAGACTTATAATTTTTGCCTGAGTGTTGACAAAATGGGTGAAAGAGTGTCACAAAGACGTAGGAGTGAGATTTTGAAACGGGCCAGTAAGCAACTACCCAAATCCCCCTAGCAACCACTTAACAACACCCCTGCATCCAACCAGAACACCAAACGACCACTTGACAACACCTTAACCTCCACCCAGAACACCTAGCAACCACTTAACAACACCTTAACATCCACCCAGAACACCAAACGACCGCTTAACATCCTTATATCCACCCAGAACACCAAGCAACCACTTAAAAACATCTTAACATCCACCCAGAACACCTAGCGACCACTTAACAACACCTTAACATCCACCCAAAACACCTAGAGACCACTTAACAACACACTAACATCCACCCAGAACACAAAGCGACCACTTAACAACATCCTAGCATCCACCCAGAACACCTAGCAACACCCTAACATCCACCCAGAACACCTAGGGACCACTTAACAACACCTTAACATCCACCCAGAACACCAAGCGACCACTTAACAACACACTAACATCCACCCAGAACACCAAGTGACCACTTAACAACACCCTAACATCCATGCAGAACACCTAGCAACCATCCAGAACAGCCTAGCAACCACTTAGCAATTCCATAGCAACTACTTAGTTATGCCTTAGCAACACTGAACACCCTAGCCACCATTCGGCAATACATTAATACTCACCCAGAATACCTTAGCAACACATTTGTTTAGCATTGTTTGCACACAAAGGTCGTCCCACCCCAAAACTATGCCACTGGCCTCCAAGCTTTCTGATTGACTAACATGTGTCAGATTCTATATTGCTGTTTACAGAGTGATTTCTCAAGACACATATTTCATGCAATATCCGTCAGGAAAAATTAATCGTTTGCAGCCACTTTATAGTTTTTAAAAGTAACGGGCCATGAACGTCTAAACTGATTTTATCTTTGCTACCTAAATAATGAGAGCGATATCAGTTTGCAGCATGTGGCCGTCCAGATGGACTGGCAGTTCAGTACAGTTGCCAACAGCTGGATGATCCGAGGGCTGCCCTCAACACTACAGTGATATTCCCAGTGGATGAGAGGATGGATACAGGACAAGCCAGCAGCCGAACAGAGAGCAACTCTTCCTGCTCAGGACAGGAAAAGCTACCACTACTCAGACTTATCACTAATAGCACAGGCGCTCCTGAGAGACAAGGGTACAGCACAGAGCGGATAATGAGAGGAAGACGCTTTTCAATCCGCGTGTAAATGAATGCCCCTCGAAAACGGAGAATCTCAGGCCACTTGAAAGAAGCTTGATTGCTCTGAAAACACAGACCGTACAAATAGCAAATCTGACTTCAGCTTCATATTAGTTCAGAAGCTACCGGGTGTCTTGCAATCATTTCAAATTTCCAGGGTTTGGTCTTCAGGGATTAGGACATGCTATCCATTGACTACTTCAGCAGAAACTGGCAGCACGCATAACCAGAGCTTCTCTCTTTAAAGTTCAAAACTAAAGACTTCAACAGATTACATGTTTACTTCCCAATTTCGATGTTAAAATGGGCATATCACATAGACAAAAGCGAGCAGCCATGAGATTTTGGGGAAACAGGCGTCTACATCAGTCTGAGAGATGAATGCATCACAAGGCTGGCCACAAGGCCACTTCCTCATGGATGTGAGAAGAGGGCATTTCCTCTCAAATCTCCACCATTAGCTCTGCCATGTCCACAAAACACTCAAATCCTTGAGAAAACTCTCAATGAATGCATCTTTCTGTTTCAATGAAGAAACTTCTCATTATTATGTCCATGACGAGGCAAAACTACGGTAAATTATTACTCATTCCAGTTCTGGTCCCTTTTAATATGCAAAATCTGGTTTTACAGCCTGATGACACATTTTTAGATCTAATTCTTTAGAATACATCTACTGCTTCATTAAAGAACCCAAAAACCAACACACCCATCAAGAACCCTTGAAAATGGACCTTGATAAGAAGAAGCCAAGGAACCATTGAATAACCTTTATTTTAAGAGTGTAGCAGATATCTAATCTTATTCCACCCGCCAAGAACATACACGCACCATCCCTCACCATCACTTTATCCTCACTTTCCGCTGCTCGAACCCAAAATATTACAAATCACGTCCAAGCCATTTAAAACCGCCCGAGAGTTCCATTGTCTATCATCTCGAGACATCTCTCATTTTCCCTTTTCTAAGTCATGTAACTGTTATTTGTCCCAGACTGACACAGATGCACAGATGCAGTCTGACTCACTTCAACTCAGGGTGGGTCTGTTTCCAATTATCGCACCCCTCCACCCACAAAAAGAGAAGTTACCTCCAAAAACAACAAAACAAGTGAAGAAAACGGCTTGCATGCTGCTAAAAGTTCCCCTCCTTTTAAGACGCACACCGAGGCAGCTAACAAAAAGCCACTCTCCCTGAGACTCCTAAACTCTTATCAGCACTTTCCTTCCCCTCTGCGCTAGAGCGTGGGAGCGTGGAGGAGAAAACCTGCACCCGCAAACAACAGGAGGAAGCCAGTAATCTGAGTCGAGGCACTCCGAATGATCCCAGGGAGCGGGGGAAGAAAGACAGCCTGAGAAAGCCTGACAGGAAAGGCTCGGACGGCACTGAGATGTTACAAAACTCAGTCGAAACTAGACGAAACTTAAGGGGGAAAGGTTCTAGAGACCTGAAGCGAGCTCTTGATGATGTTCCCTGTCAAACCAAACGATAGCTGAAGAGAGGGATCTTAAAACAAGACACTTACCAGCAAGTCGAGCGTACATGCAGCGTGTCGGGCTCTACAGCGTCTCTATGTCCATAGTCAAATGTCTCACGGTGTCCAGCCAGCGCAGTCAGTGTCCACAACAAAAGACATGAAGGAGCGAATACGGGAGGGCATGAATGTCAAGGCTCTTAGTGAAACAGCCTCTTTCTGTATCCTCTGTTCATTCAGAGTCTACTTACACTAAGTTGGCAATGCCTCTTTGCGGGAACAACTTGTTTCAGGATTCCCCAAATGTCTGAAGCTGCAAGCAGAGGAAGAAAAGGAGAGGAAAGAGAGAGAAGAGAGAGTGTGTGTGTGTGTGTGTGTGTTTGGTGCTGAAGGGAGGGCTGGGGGGTTCGGGGAGGTGGGAGGGACACGCTCTAAAGAGGCCGGGGCCATCTATGCCAGACAATAGCAGGAAAATGAACATCAGACGCTAAAAAGCAACAGTCTGATTATTAGAGAGTGCTAATAACAACAACAAAGAATGAAATAACAACAGAACGAATGTTGTTTTTGCACTTCTTTTAGAAGATTTAGACATTTCATCTTTTTTTGTAAGTGTTAAAGGAAAATTCACATTGAAATAAAAAATCTGTCATATTTTTTCACACTTATGTCCTTCCAAACCCGTGACTGCTATGTATTTTGTGGAACATAAAAGGAGAAAGCTTGTATATTTTATGGTGATCATGTTAGTCAAACCCCCCAAAAGACAAAAATAAAATATAAAAGAAAAGAAAAGAATAATAAAAAAAAAATAAAAGAAAAGAAAAGAATAAAAGAATCTTCCAAAGTCTTCCAAAGTTTTTTAGGAATATTATTAACAGTTGGAGCTATTAATTCTCATTCATAATTGTGTTTAGATTACAAAAAAACAAACAAAAAAAAAAAAACAGATGCAATTTTTTTGTATTTGTGCTGCAGTGGAGGGGAAAATTCACTGAAAAATCATTTATATTTCAGCACCATTTCAATTCATAAGCTGTGCAATATAATGTATCATCATGTTGACTATTTTTATTATACTTTATTATACTTCTGTCAGGACCACTATCGTCAAAGATGATTGACAATTAGCATACAGTTTGGATTGGTGGTATGGTTCTGTTCTGTGCAAGAACTCCCTGCGCCTCCATGCAGCCTAGCATGGATGAGAGCAGGGAGAGCAGCAATAACCCCCCTAGGGTAAACAGAACAGAACCAACATAAATGTATTGCAGATATCGTTAAAGTTCAATAATGTTATGTACACATTTTAGAATTAGTCTGATTCAAAGGAGAATCAGAAGGCTGAATCCTGACTGACAGAGGAGGAGCTGGGGATGGAGAAGGGTAATTAGCTATTGAGCAATGCGAAAGCTGCTGATAATACTGAGGGAGCTTATATATGAATGCTTAGATAGGTGTTGTATTCCCATAGGTTGATGGGGATCAGCTGAGAGTCAGCTGATGCGAGCTTGACTAACGTGACCTGCCAGAACTGATGCTATGCTTGATTTATGGTGTTTCTGGTGATTGCCACTATAAACTGTCATTGTGGAGGTTCTTCAAAAATGATTTTCAATTCCATTGAAAAAACTAAATCATTTACAGGTTTGGAACAACATTAAGGGGAAATAAATGATGTATGTTGCTCCGTGGCTGTCTCTAAGTTGTGCTTTAAAGAAGTACACTTATTTTGATCTGTTGACTAATATACTAAAGCACATTTAAAGTATAATTTGTAAAGTACATGTAAAGTATGAATTTAACTGTAGTGTGTTATTCAATATTATATTTAAAATAAATAGCCTATATTTAAGGTGTACTAAACTGCAACGTCATCATTACAAATATGTCATTACAAACACGTTTAAATACATTGCATACAAATTTCAAAAAATTGACCTTACATTTTAGTTTACCATAAATGCTTGTCAGTACATTCAGCTATACACTTTAACCATATTTCAAATACAATAGAAGTAATTATGAAATTACATATAAAGATGTACTTACGTCCTACATACAGTGTCAAAAGTACTCTTGCATTTAATTTAAATGTAAACTATATTTAATTTAATTGCAAATAACATGCAGTTAAGTGTCTGTTAGGTGTCAGTTTGCAGTGAAGTATTTTAAGTATATCATTTCCATACTCTTTTTAAAGATATGCAGCTATATTACATACAACTGAACAAATTCACACACACACACACACATCTTCAGACAAAATGTAAAGCCTGTTCACCATTTTTGGCACATACAGTAAGTGCCAAAATATTGTCCAAACCATTCATTTGTGTTTTGTAATGATATTCAGTTTGCTTTTCATGGCAAACAATTCCTTTAAATATCGTCTCTTTTTTCTTCTTTTTTAATTATAGAGATGTCATTTTGACATCAAAAAAGTTTGTGTGTACAATGTAATCCCATTGGATTTGGTGTCAATAGGTCTTTAGTCCAGCAAAAAGTTATTGTAGAGCACAAATTTAGCTCAGTTCATGTTGGTTGGATTTAGTTCACAAAATGAGACGTGAGCTAGAAATGACAGAGATTTCAACCACAATGAATTTTCATGTCTGTCTGTTCACTTCTTTGTATCTGTGTGTGTTTCTGTGCGCGCGCACACACACACACACACACACACACACACACACACACACACAGAGTAGA